GATCAATTAATGTTTTTCGATATTTATTCATTAGTAATATCCCAAAAGTTGTCTCTTCTTATCTAATATAAATGAAAAATTTTTTTTGAAATAATAGAATATGCTCGAAAATATTAATACTCCAAGAAAAAAAAAAACGAAAAAAAAGAACGAAGGAAAAAAAGTAATGCATTAAAATTAATTTGCAGCTTTTTTTTCCTATGCAAAAAAAAAAAATTAAAATAAAATGTTGTTTAGTTATCCAAAAAAGGAAAAAAAATTTCTCTAAATTATATTTTATTAAAATTCATTCGTTCCAGTTTTTTTTACCAAAAGTAAATGTTAAGTAAGTGTAAATATGCTAGTAACATTTACTTCACACCGTATTCCTCCAACCCATTTCTCTTAGTAATTTGTTGTTGGAAGATGTGGAAAATATTTGATTTGCTCCACCCAGTTTATATTTACCCACCAACAACATTAACCCATCTTATTTTCGCCCATTTCTAACCCATCCAATCATTCATGAATAATTTTCCATGAAGGCGGTTCAAATTTTCATCCAAATTTCATCTAAATTAATTATCAAAAAAAAAAAAAAAAACGAAAATGCTCTAATCTTTAACTTCTTTTCATGTCAAACAATTATGTTAATTGCATTCTGGCTAGTGAAAATTTAAATTAAAATTTAAATTTAAGCTAAAATAGAAGAAAGAAGAAGAAAAAGAAGTGAAGATCAAAGGATTTTGAAAATCCGTTCGAAATTTTCAAATACCATCTGGTATCTGGATTTATTTTAAAAACCGTCTGTTTGGCTTCTTAAGCAAATTTAAGAAATCAAAAAAAAAAGAGACAAGAAATTAGAGTAAGCACCATTTGTTTATATGAATATACATCAGAATTTTTGTAAATTTTATTAGGTTCATTTAAATTTTATAGTTTCAACTTCAATTTATTTGATTTATTTAAATTATTAAATTTGTTAGTTTAAATTAAGTAATTTATCGATTTTTTCCTTTTTATTTTATTAAATATTCTTTCTCTCAAAAGTAGTGATGAGGAATTCAGCAAAAAAAATTATCAAAAGTTTAAGATAAAATTAGGCAAAATGTAAATCAACAGATAAAAAGTCTGTAAGTTGTTTAACTTTCCTTGGTTGATCAAATAATTTTCGCTTATAATAATCAACCTTCAGTTATTAAATAATTAAAATAAATTACGGCAAATCTCAAAAATCCATCCGTAACTTAAACTTGTAGACTTTATTTAAATTTCAGATTAAAAACAAAAACAAAATATCATTAATTTAATCTTTTTTTTAAAGTCTAAGAATAATTTCTCTAATTTCTCTATCACTGGTAAATTTTAATTTAAAAAAGCAAAATAATCATTTCGAAAAGCGCTTGTAAAATATATACTAATTTAGTATTATCATTTCTTTTAACTGATTTTGAGAGACTAAAAATTGTTTGAATTATCATTACTAATACGTTAGACGAAAAGTTGAACTTTGATCAACGATCAGAATTTGACGATAACTTTCTTGTTGATCCTTTAGAAGCAAAATATTAACCAATGCTTGCATTTTGTTGTTATTTGTTGTTTGTTAATTGTTGTTATTGTTGTTGCTGTCTCTTCGTTTGAAAGATTAGACCATATTGCGCGAAAGCGGAAAATGTCATTGCATTGAAATCTGTTCTCTTTTCAATACCAATTTCTTGCCCATATGTTCCACATTACTGCTGGATGAAGTCGAAATGCAATGGTATTTTTGTTGATGAAATGTGTGGTTGAGGACAAGTAAAGATTTATGAGCAATCTGTTCTGGGGCGCTTAATGTAATCCATATAGCGCCACCACCATATGACATTACTTCTTTATCATTCATGTATTGTTATTTATACACATACATAATTTTACTATAATTCATTTCATATTCTTTTATTCTTTCCCACAAAATTATCGAAAAAAAAGCAAAAAAAAAAAAGGTAAAACTAAAATTTCTAAATTAACAACAACAAAACATAACAATGATGATAATGATGATAATGTTTATATAAATGTTATTCATGATTAATCATTATTTTTAATATTGTATATTATAATTTTTAGTATCACATTATCATAATACAATCATTATCATCACTATCATAAACAGTACATCATTTATTTTTAATAATTATTATCATCAACAATAGCAATTTATCATCATTACTTATTTTATCAACATACCACCAAGAAAGAAATGATTTTTAATACATTTGTTTTCTTAATAGAGGAAAAAGAAAAAACGAAGAAAAACTTTCTTCGATGATTTTTATTATTTATAAAAAAAAAATTAAAAACAAATGAACAAGAAAATTGTTGAAATGATACGGTAGTAATCAGATTACTACCGTATCAATAGTATAAATTAAACTATCTTTTTTCTTTTCTTTATTCCATTTCTAATTAATGACCTTTTTCATTAGTAAATTCGCAAATGATCGATCCATGAGATTATTACGCAATCAATTCTACCATTCCTATTTACTATCATCTTTCACCTTTTTTTTCTTCTTTTTTTTTAAATTTTTTCTTCTCTTCTCTTCTCTTATCTTCTTATCCTTTTCTTTTCACATACAAAACAGCTGCAAAAAATTTCACACACTAATCATTATTGCATAATTGATGAAATATTCAATATAATCTCTCTTTTTTTCTCTCTCTCCTCTTCTTCGTTTCTTTTTATCAAACAAAAATTTGAAATTTAAAAAATAGAAAGAAAAAAAAAAATGAATGGCACATATTTTCCTTGCAAAAACGGCTGGTCTCCCCGGCCGGGAATCGAACCCAGGTCTCGCACGTGACAGGCGCGGATACTCACCACTATACTACCGAGGACTGTGCTGTGTCGAGCACATTACATTGTAGTGAAAGTTTTATTTGAAAAATTAAATATTTGTAATGTAAAATTGGAATTAATATATTAATATAAATATTAATTATTGGACTATTTGTGATCTAAAATTAGAATTATTATAAAATATAATTATAAATTGATATACTAATAATTTTTTTTTTTAGCAATGCTTTGATGTAAATTGAAAAATTTGATTCAAATTACTATCAGTTATATCGGGTCATTTTAATTAAAACTAAAATTGAATTAATTTTAATGGAAATCTAGCTAATTTTATCATTTTTATCATGATTAAAATTCATTATCATCATACAGATAAGAGTCGAAAAAGGCAGTGAATGACGCGCATAACATTTCATAGTTCACACAAAAGAGGTCACTCCCCGGCCGGGAATCGAACCCGGGTCTCGCACGTGACAGGCGCGGATACTCACCACTATACTACCGAGGACCACGTGAGGTTGGCAATTTTAATTAATTACTGAAATTTCCAATTCTAATTTATAAATTTGACGCATCAAAATAAAATTCAAGAAATTTAATTAGTTTATAATAGTTTGATAGGAAGTATAACATAATATCATCTATGCATTCATCGCTTATAGCAGTTATTATTAAAATTTATTTGATCTGATTACTATCAATATTATCATTAAATGATAACGATTTGATCATTGAGTGTTGTTTTTTCTTCTTTTTTTTGCATAGAAAATAACAATTAAGCTTATTTATGTATAGCAAAAAAGTATTAAGGATATTATTGAAGATGAATAGATAATGGTGGATTAGTAAAATTAGTTTTAATTTTTTTTTTGATTAAAAAAGTTGAAATTAAAAAAAAAATAAACGAATAAAAAAACACTTTTTAAGAGATTATTCTAAAATGTTGTCTGTACATTTTCTAATGATTTTAGAGATGGAAGAGCAGATGTCCACTTGTAATGGTAGTATAGTTAATAGGAGGAGTGAGACATTGAAGGCAGGTGGACCAATGGAAGGGGAAAAAAGGTCACCCGAGGTCGACAACCGTTTCTCAATATCCTATCTCAGTTGACAATTGAACTACTGCAATTAGCATGAATGCATTACGTTTGTTAGTGATTACTTAAAGCTCATTTATGCAAAATATAGTAGTATTTCTTCATCGCTTAATCACCCTTTCATTCAATTCTTACTTACAAAAACTTATCATTGCAAAAAAAAAAGTTAGTTATATCTAATTAACTTCATTAGTAGTATTAAAATAGTTAGTTATTTTCAATTTGTTTCTTTTTGGTAATCATAATTAACCATAATTTGACACAAATTATTATGATAAGTGGGTATTACGGTAGAAAAAAAAAATGAAACAACAAAAAAAAAAAAAAAAAGTGCCAAAATTAGCCAAAACAAATTTGCATTAATTGGAAAATTAGTCAGAACAATCTATGCTTATAAATACCAAAATTGTTCACTTTCTAAATGAAATGAAATGAAAATGAAATGAACAGATGTTGTTGCCCGTAGCAATGCCTTATAATGTCATTCAGCTCTAAATCGCATAATTGTCAACCGCAAGCTGTCTTCCATTGCTTCATTTGCCACAATTCTGACAACAAACTGTGTTCCATCACAACAAATTTCAATTCATTACAATTTATTTAGCACTAACAAAAATGATTAACCTTTATTGATATTTCAATTTTAGTTTTAATTATGATATTATAAAAAAAATAACATATGACAAAAAAAAACAAATTGATTATTATTATGATTAAATTATTATGATATTGTGATAAACTTTTCAATTATTACTATAATAAAATTTCATTATAAGAAAAGAAAAAATTTTATCAATTATATTATTATGATTAAATGAATTCATTTAAATATATATTTACTGCTATAAAATAATAATAATAATGATTATATATTATGATAAGTTGTTAACAATATTCAAATTGTACACACATAAAAAAAAGAAATGATATATACAGTTATAATTGTATGATATTATAACAATTTTTTGATAATATGATTTTATTTTTTTTAAAAAAAAAAAGTAATTATTGTAATTGTTTGAATAAAATAGCATTTATTGTTACTAACATGCAAAAATTGAAATGCATGAAGAAATTTGATGATTTTGATCGAAGCAATTTATATTGATTTGCATGAAATGAAGCAGATGTGTCTCGAGAGGATTGGACAGGGACAAGGCAAAACGAACGGTCATTACCAGCTGCTTTTGATGACTTTTAATGATGGAAAAGTCGAATGGACCAATCTAAAACTGTAATTATTTATGAAATGCTGCTAATATTTCAATTATTTGTACAAAAAAAAAAAAAGACATAAAACTAATAATAAATAAGTTAGTAATTTTGTAATAATTAAAATTAAAATTTTAAATTAATGAATTTAATAAATTTATCATTTTTCCTTTTTTTATTTTAACTATAAAATATAGAAAAAGTTAAATGGACCATTGTCAACTGTATTTATTTATGAAATGCTGTTAATATTTCAGTTATTTGTACAGAAAAAACAAAACATAGAACTAATAATAAATAAGTTAATAATCTTTTAAGAGTTAAAATTAAGATTTTAAATAAATGAATTTAATGAATTTATTGTCTTCTCCATGCTTTTGTATGGTTGCATAATATACTAGATTTGATAAAAATAAAACAGTCAAATAAAATTCTGATAATTATAAAAATAAAATTCAATTCTGATAATTCTGATAAATTTTGAAATTCGTATTTTTAGAAATAAAAAAATTATCCATTTATTTTTTAAATTCGAAAAAGCCATTTTATAAGTTTTTGAATTATAAATATTCGATTCAGCGTTATATTTTTATTTTCATAGTTTTGTTTCCATAGTTTTACATGGAAACGTAACTTTTGTTTCAAATAATTTTTCGATCAATAAAGTGTTGATTTTGGCTTCTAGAAAATCGTTTTATTATTTTTTTTTTTTTCTTTTTTTTTTTTTGAAATAGTTATAATTTACTGAAATTCATAAGGGAATGAATATAAGTGGTAACTAAGTAATGTGCTTTCTTCTTTTATGGATGATACAACATTTCAAGAAAAGATAATTTAGCCATTTTGATTATTTGTTAACCAAAATTGCTTCTTCCATTTTCGTTGTCACAATTATTACTATTTTATCCATTTTAAAAATGACAATGCCATTTTCAATTTTGATCATAAAAATGCAAAAATATTTCTCAGTTAATAGTCAAAAAATAAATTTCTGTCCATTTTTATCAATTAACGGCAGGTGGCTATTTCAATCATTCTTAGGTATATTTGATATTTTCAAAAGGTAACCATGGAAAAAGCAAGCTTGAAATAGCATTAAGCAGTATTAAATACAAAGGAAGAAAGGCGCATTTTTCTTTTCTTTTTTTTTTTTTTGCGCATACCATGAAACCAAATAAGCATAAATTAGTGAGAAGAGAAAAAAGAAGAAGAAAAATTCAGCAATATTTTATATTATTTAAAATATTTATCATTTTTGCTTTTTAAAATTAAGAAAAAAAAATTTTTTTTTTTTTTGAAGAATTAAAAAGCAAAAAAAAAGGGAAAATATTTAAAGATAGTATCAAAATATGTCATACTTTTTTCAAATTACCAACCATATTTCCTGAAACAAAAAAATTTTATTATTGAAACATACAATGAATGCGAAAGAAAAAAAAATATGAAATTGATATTAAATGAAATAATAATCAATAAATGATAACAATTTAAATGATATGATATCAAAATTTGTCGCATGAAAAATTTTTAAATTTTCTTATCAGCACTAATTGAAATGATAACAAATATCGTATAAGCTTGTAATTTATTAGCAATAAATTACACTAAAGTTTGACTTTTTTCATCTAAGATTATTAACTTTTACTATTAATTAAAATTTTTCGTATAATTTTTGAGCTTCTGAATTGTTAGCGCAAATAAAATGATAAAATGAATTTTAACATTGTTAATTTATTAATGCTTTAGCACTTAAATTGTCAATCGATTAATTAATTAATATTTCAGTTATTTTCAAATATTAATATTTTAATATAATATTTTAATTAATATTGCAAATATAAATATAATATATAGTAATATTTTCGTTAACAAATCAAAAATTTAATTTGAAAATGAAAAAGGTCAACCATTTATCAGAGAACTAAATTAATTGTTAACACTTGAAATCTTTCAAAAAAAAAAAATCGATACACGTGTGAATTTACCATCACGTCCGCATCTTGTTCCACGTCTTATTTTACGTTATAAATTGAAAATTTTGGTACTATCACGTTTTTTGTTTCTTTTTAACAGATTGAAAAAAATTGATCTGAAATAGTTTATCATAGATTATATTTGTCATGCTGATTTATATTGTTCATAAACAAATAAAATTCAATTTTTTCAATGCTTTATAAATTGTAAAATTTAATTTCCGGTTTGATTCACTGAATTATTTGAATTCGATCAATAGCCTTTTTTGCTATGAATAAGCATTGATAAACATAAGCAAATATTGATTTATATTCGTTTAGTGGCAAAAATATAAAATATACGTATAAAAGTTAAATATAACTAACAAAGACAGAGAGAGAAAGGGGAAGAAGGAGAGAGAGAGAGAGAGGGAAAGAGAGGGAGAGAGAGATAGCAAAGGAATGAAACTTAAAACTTTTACAGCTTTTTCCTTATTCTACTTTGTATATTGTTGAAATAATTTTATAAAATATTTTATTTTCATAAATAAGTATGTTCTAGTAAAATTTATAACTGAATATACATTTGTTTTAAATTAAATTGCACAAATTATTTATGTCAATAATCTCTTTGAAGTTTATTTTTATGTTTACCTTTTTTTTTTTGATCTAATCAATTCTATCTAAGTATTTTATATCAAAAGTTTCAAATTGAATTAATTTAGGTCATTAATGCATTTAGTTCTTTTTTTTTTATTCAAATCAATTTGAATAATTATTAAATAATGAAATACTTAAAAACTTTTTGTTTGCAATTTCATTTTTCTTTTTTTTTTCTTACAATTTCAAAAATAAATGTGCTAAAGAAAGAAGTAAAAATTTGTAATCATATAATGGATTTGTTTTAAAAAACACAAAAATTGTTGAAAACTATTTTCGTATAATATCAATTAATTAATTTCCATTTTAAAATAATTTAATATATCAAATTTCGATAATTCGTTTACTGGGAAAATAATATTGTATGCATAGCAAAATGTAAAATTATCTATAAATGCTTTATTAGAAAAACTTGTTTTATGCTATTTTAATTCAATTTTTTTTTATTTTTTGATTTTTTTTTTCAAAAATTTTAGCACCATTTTAAATTTATTTTTAGATTATTGTTATAATAACAAGCAGAAATGTGTCACCTGACACTGATTACTTTTGCAATTATTTTACAAATAATATTTGTGAATAGTTTGGACTGTCTTACGGGACGTTTAAATTTTGGCTTAGTGTACACTCAATGTAGCGCAAATGTCAATTATTGTGCTAAAATGGCAACCACTGATCCAGGTTAATTTAAAATTGATAAACTTTATCACATTTGTTTCAGAATTTAAAAAATGCTTACAATTTAAAATTTCAAATTAGTATATATCTACGCGAATAGCGCAAGTCATATCATTTCACTAAGTGAAAACGATGACTTATCAAATTTAATAAAATAAAAAAATAAAAAAAAAAAAAATTGAAAAAATTGATAAGTAAAATACTACAATAGAAAAAAATTTTTCAATTTCAATTTTTTATTTTTATCTTTATTTTATTTTATTTTTTTGCAGTGCAGGGCCTTATTATTGAAAAAGGATGTGATGCGGAAAATTTTTGCACTGTTAGTTGAAATTTTAATTTCATTTTCAACAAACATATCTTTGTACTGATTTTTTTTTCGGCGTTTTTTTCTCTCTCTCTCTCTCTCTCTCCCTCTTTCTGTCTCCCAAATTTTTATTTGATTAATTCAATAAATATCTGAGAAACAAAAATTTGATTCAAAAAAAAGAGAACTAATTTAATTTTAATGAAAATAAAATTTTATTTGTATTTAGCTTTTTTTTAAATAATTTTTTCCCTTTTTTTTTTACATAATTTCAGACTATTGGGTCACGTTGTTTATATGATAACTATAATGAAATGGAAATATGTTGCTGTAGGTCAAATCTTTGCAATGGATCGATGACATACCTTTATTATTGGTTACCTTGTTTAATTATTACATTTATTTTTATAACTATAAACTTATGATTAATATCAAATGCAGTATGAATTCATTGCTAAACGATGAAAAGAATTTCGAATTGATATGTTAAAATAATGAGAAATCACATCAAAAAAACAGTTTAAATTTCTAAATTTTAATAATTTTAGTTATTCATAGGTTTTTGTTTATTTATATTAAAAAAAAATATTTTTGAATTTTCGAATTATGATTTTTTATTTTTAATAATTTCAGTTATTTTTGTTTTTTGTTTATTTATAATTTGAAAAAAAAAACACACAAACAAACTTTGTTTTGCACAATAGTATAATTTCATTTTAAACTTCACAAATTGATCAAACTTTTAACAGTTAGAATTAGGTAGTGATTTAAATTATAAATGAACAATAGTTTATAAATAAACATAAAAAAATTATAAATTTTCTTTTTTTTTTCATTTAGTACCTCTTTCATATTGTTTTCTAATTTGCACTTAAATGTATTTTATTATTAAAATATAATGTTGTCATTTGTAATAACAATTTTTTCTCAAACTTTCTTCAGTAATTTGTAAATTTTTTTATTTTAAAAAATAAATAGAAATTTTAGCCAACGATAAAAATCAAATATACTTGTTATCAGCAATCATTTGCACTTATTTTAGGGCAAAAAAAAATTCTTATCACTAAAGTATGTTCGAAAGCCTTAATGCAACAGTCGTATTCTTAGAATTTATAATTTATCAATGAAACAGAAAATGGATGAAAAAAATTGTTGTTTAAATTGAAATTGAATTTAAATTTTGAATGAAATTTCATTCAATAACAATTTGAAACGATTTTTTTCACCTCATAATATTAAATTTAATTTCTTCCATAAATTTAATTGCCCAATAAATTCAGTGAAAAATTAAGAATTGATAAATAATATAACTGTTATTATGATTAATTATAGCATAATTAATTTATTAATGAAAAGTATTTCACTTACGTGTGCACGTCAATAAATATATGCATGAACGTGAATACGTGTGCACGTCAATAAATATATGCATGAACGTGAATACGTATGCATTATACTTTTTTCTTAGTTTTTTTAATATATATAAGTTAAGTATTGATAATTGAGTATTAATAATTAAAGCTTTAAAATTTTAACATATTTATTGTTTTCATTTGCCTTTTATTTATTTTTTTTAAACCAACATTTTTACAAATTAATTCGAAATTTTTCAGATACCAGAAAAAATTTTTTTGACTTATTCGATTGATTGCTGATAAGAAATTGAAAAACATAAATGATTATTTTCATTTATTAACTTAAAACTATTCTTAATGTACAGCCTAATAGATGAAAATAAAACGATTGTTTGAAGTTATTCTCGATATTATGCATTTGCTATGTTTTGTCACCTGTCACCCTGTTCCGAGAAGCACTTTCAGGAATTCATCAAAAGCAGTATAATAGTTGACAACATATTCACATTATTTTTATACCATTCCATTTTCTCTTACTTACTTATATATCCTTTTTTTTTTTTTTTAACCAATCATTTTACTGCTTTAAAAATTTGCCGAATTTTAAATATTTTTAGCAAGAATTTTAGCAACAAATTTCTATCATTTAATTTATTTTAATCATAAAAATATCAAAACAAAAAATTTAAATCTACATATAATTCAATTAAAAATAAGTATAATTTAATTTAATATGAATTAATTTAAACTAGTTTAATTTATATAGTTTAAATTACAATTGTTATTAATAAATGAATGCATGAGTGTATAGAGAGTGTATAAAAATGTAGCACACTGTTATTCAATTTAAAATAAAATCTTCAAACAATGTAATGAATTATGCTATTTTCTTTTTTCAATCATAATTTAGTAATAAATGACAATAGTCAATTAATTTTTTTTCAATCAATTTCTTTGTTTTTTTAATTCTTTTTTTTTCAATTATAATTTAGTAATAAGTAACAATAGTTTATTACATTTATTGTCAAAGAATATCATTAATTAAAATATTAAAATAGTTTTTGAAGTGGTTTTACATCAAATATTAATCATGAAATAACATATTTTTATTTTGCTTTTAAAAAATAAAAAAAAAATTTTTGATATTAATTTATGAATTTATGTAATTAATTATTTTATAATTATAATCATTTATTCCACTTTGTTTTTTTTCTCTCTCTCTCTTTCTTTCTTTTCCCTCTCTCTTTCTCTCTTTCTTTCTTGTTACTTTCTTTTAGTAAATTATGTTAAAATTTATTTTCTATCCAATACCATTACTGGCAATGCTTATAACAACAAGTGATGCATTAAAATGCTTTGTTGGACGACAATATTTCGGCGCATTGGGTAATGGCGGATCATTCGCCGAAGTTTTATGCCCTGCGACATCAAACTTTTGCGTTAAAAGACATTTTGCAATTCAATGTAAGTTTGAAAAATTTAAATAATAAATATTGAATTAATATAAGGAACAATCAGAATATCATTAATTAAATTATTAAAATAGTTTTTGAAGTGGTTTTAAATGAAATATTAATTATAAAATAACATTTTTTTTTCACTTTGCTTTTAAAAAATAGAAAAAAAATATTTCATATCGAATTTTATGATGAATTTATGTAATTAATTATTTCATATTTATAATCATTTATCCCATCTCTTTCTCTCTTTCTTTCTCTTCCTCTCCCCCTCTCTCTCTTGTATAATTAATAATCATGACAAAAGTTAGAATTATTCAAATTATTAAGTATAGCATTTCAATTCATCTTAAAAAATTTATTTATTTCATTTCATTATTTTTTCTTCCCTAAAAATTTGAACATTTCATATTCTTAAAAATGTGAAAATAATAATAAAAAAAAAGAAATAGTAATTTATTTGCATAATTATCTAACCAAACTGAATTTTATCATATCAGTCTTATGTAAGAAAAAATAACAATGTGATAATATTTGCGATGAAATAAATTTCCCAAAACAAAACAATTGGTAATGAATAATGACAAAGTATAGATAATAATAATAATAATAATGATAATGACGATAATAATAATAATAATAATAATAATAATAATAATAATAATAATAATAATAATAATAATAATAATAATGAAATCACTTAATTAGTATTTTTTATCTTGATTTTTTTTAAAATAATTTACATCAATTTGTTTGTCTGCAAAAAAATTTTCTTCTTTTGCAGATAATGAAGATGTCATTGAGAAAACTTGCGATCCGAATTCACAATGTTATGTGAGTTTTGTTGTTTTTATTTTTTTAAATTTGTTGTTAATTAAAGTTTCGTAATTAAATTGCATTCTTTGAATTGCGTTCGGAAAGTTAATCAATTTTAAAATTGAAGTTTAGCAACAAACTTAAAAAGTTTAAAAATCGAATGATCAATCAGTCAATAATTACATCTTTTATTGTAATAAATTGAAGTGCATAATTACAATTGATATTTCGATCCATAAAATTTAACAAAAAAAATTACAGCAATCAATAATTAAATCTTTTAATTTGAGTCTAAATGGTATGATTTAGCTTAAGATTCTTTTTTTTTAATTTTGTTTTTTATATTAGATATATAAAATTTAATAAAATAGATATATTAGATCATTTATTATATATAATTGAGCTTTTAAACATATGATTAAATCAATTTAATAATTCAGAAATCAATAATTAATTTTGTTTTCCAATTAATTTATATTATTATTTTAGGAAAAAGAAAATATGATTAATTATTTGTTTATAGAAAGTTGGTAATGGTTGTTTCTATGATGCAAATAACGCGGCGGAATATTGTTGCTGTAATTCAGATAGTTGCAATGGCGCAACTGTCACAGCAACTACTTTCTCTCTTCTAATTATTACTGCTATTTGCTTTATTAGTACCATTTTCACGCATAAATTATTCGAATAATTATCAATTAATCTGTATTTTTCAAATTAAAATTCATTGAAGCTTTTTTCTAGGATATTGGAAATTACAATTGTAAGAAATCTTACGAATTAAAATTTTAATTCAAAATAATTTTGTTGCTCATTTATTCTTTGCTTACATATTTTTTTTTTAATTAAAAAAGAAAATGAATGTTTGAATGGTATAAAATTATTTTAGACAATCATATTTGAAAATAGCCTTTGGTGACACATTCATTATTTAGACTAAAGGCTATTCTAAGCAATCAAATTTTCTCATTTTCTGCTACTAAAATAAATCATTTGGAATTAATTTAAGAAAAATTATTTTTGTATTATTCAATTTTTCGATCAATTTTTAAAGCTAAAATGAATCATTGATTTATTTCTAATATAATTACTGATAAGCATTTTTGCATTACTCATTTGATTAAAATTTTATTTCTCTTTTTTTGTTTGTCAATTTTACAAGATGGCAAATAATCATTTACGATGTATTACTCAGTTAAAAATTAACATTTTTTGTACATTTTGAAAAATTCAAAATAATCAAATCAAATCTTAAAAATTCAATGCAAAAAAGATTTCAGAAAAAAAATATGTGTAAAAATTAAATAAATAAAACATTTCACAAGAATATAATAAAAGGTTAAAGTAAAATTATAAACGAGTAAAAGCTGTAGAATGAATTAATAAGTAAGAAATATAATAATTGATTATCAGATGTCAAATGCATTCCAAACTGTTAGATTTTTTGAGTGAAAAGCGAGATTAATTTAAAGAACGATAATTAAAAATTTGAAATAAAATTTGAATTGGAATAAAACTTGAAAATTTTAATTAAATTGAAATTAATGATTATTTTAATTCTCTGATTCTTTACCTTTGCAACATTTTCTTTTGCAATATTGCAACTCTTATTTATGTCATTAATGGGAATTAGTGAATGATACCATTCAGTGATACTAAGTCAGCTGATAAACTTGTCAGGTTTGATAATGAAATATGTTTGTTGATAACAGCGCTATCAGTGAAAAATAGTAATGCAATGAATCATCGCCATAGCAATTCAATTTAAAAAATGGAAATAAAATGCTGATAAAACACTGAAATTTTCTAATTATGATAACAAAATTTCATTCTGAACCGAAGAATTGCGATAAATATAGTATGGTGATAATTTTAATGATAAGATCATCTGATTAGTTCACCGGAAAATTTATTGGAGATATAAGTATTACAATTGATTTTCTATATTTACGAATGAAAATGGAAATGAAAAATGGTTTAAAAAAAGAATTTTGATATGATCGGCAAAAAAAATTAAAGTTAAATGAAAAATCTCGAGAAATCTCCTGGATATTTCTCCTAAATCTCTTATATTTTTATATTATTAATAAAAAAAACAAATTAAATAAATGTGAAATTCATTTTTTTTTAAATTAAACTTTAAAATAGTAATGTATTTTTTTAAATAATACCAACTGTGAAGTTTTAATTTATTTGTCTCAAACAATAAAATATAATTGATAAGTTATTGTCAACTGAGTTCTTTTTTTTTTTTTTACACTCAGAAGTTTTTGATGATACTTTTGAGTTGACAAAAGATTTAAGATGAGTGCACTTTTGAAAAAAAAAATAAATAAATAGTGTTGATTTTAAAGCTAAACATTTTCACTTGTAAATAAAATTATTTTATCCGGAAGCAGTTTTAGTTCATTCGGATTTCACATATGTACTTTTGTAAATTTGACCATTTACTTAAGTAAGTATATTCTGCATAGAGTATGAAATCAAACTAACTTAGATTTAAATTTTTTGGTAAGTTATAAAGTAAACTGAAGAAAAAAATACAGTTATTAGACTAAATTTTGTACAAACAAAAAAAAAAAAAATTTATTTTTGTAAATAAATCATTTAGTTATTTTAAATAGTTATTTCATTTCTATGATATTATAAGTTCTATTAAAATTAAAATTTACTATTCTTACCCCTTAATTACAAAACATTTCATTTTTGTTTTGTTTTTCTAAAACTTCAATAAATTATCGTTGTAATGTTTACGAGTAATATAAAATTGAAAAAATGCTTAAAAAAAAATAATCAAACATCTGTTTGGACTCATTTTTGAATTTCACTTTTTTGCCTGTAATATTGGACCTTATTATTTAGAAATTATATTTTACACTAATTTTTTTAATATTATTTGAAAAAAATTTATTTGTTTTAAATAAGAAAGGAATTTGTCCTTTTTTGATTTTATGCAAAAATTATTATTTTATTTTATTTTTTCTTTTTGATTTATTTATATTTGAAGATTTTTAATATTTATTTTAAAGATTTTTAATATTTAATTGAAATTAATTCACTAAACATCCGTCGATTTACTTGGAATTTTATTCTTTTTAATGTAGTCAATGCTAAGTAATACTTAATATCATATGTTATCAGTTATTTACGGAGTAATTAGCTTGTTTATTTCATAAGTGATAATTAACTTTTTTTATTTCATTATCGTTGATAATTTTAAAATCAATTGAAGTAATTAAAATTGAGATTAATTAAAAGCTAAGCTAGAATTAAATTTTCTGCTAAATACATCTATACCTATGTTTTCGAATTGCTGTACCCAACTAATTACACCATAGGTAATTAGGCATCAGCAATTAATCGCGTCCATCTCCAATTTTTTATTTATATTTTAATTTAGGGAAAAGCTAAATCTATTTAATTTAGAAAACTGCAGTAATATAAAATCGAATCTATTCAATTCTAATTTTGATTCCTAATTTTTAAGAGTTTAATTCTGAATTGTTCCATTATTATTGAAAAGAATTTTTCATACTTTAAATGACTATCGGATTGTTTTAGAAATGGAATTTGTAACGTTTTATTAAATTTACTTTTCTTTCTGATACTAATGCAACAGCAATTCAGAAGGAATTTGATGACTGATTAGTTTTCTGCATTAATTTCAATCTTTTTTTTTCAAAATTTAACTTTTACTTACTCTATTTAAATGTTGGAAATATTTCATAAAACTATGGGCAGAAAGTTTTACAACTATCATTTCTGAAGCAATAATTTTATTCCGCAAGAAATTAGTGTAATATGCAAACTTTTAATGAAAACTAAAAAGTAAATGTCAAAGGTTAGCAGAAAATTATAAAAAAAAAAAGTGCAATTGAGAATATTGGCACTATTTGTTTTTTTTGCTTGCACCATTTGATGCCTTATGCAATTTTAAAGAATCAAATTTTAAAAAAGTTTTTGGGAAGAATAAAATGAAAAGAAAGAAAAATGAAAGCTGAGTCAATGGTTGATAATAATAACAACAATAATAATGATAATTGATAGTAATAATAACAATGACAATAATATCAGTGATAACAATAATAAATAACAATAATTACACCAAGTTGGTTCTATAAACAAGCAAACAGAATATTATTAGAAATGAAATCATATACAAATACTTCGTTATCATATGATATTATCATAGTGATCAAACATATTTGAAATGTTTAAAGATTGTTTTAATTACTTTTAGGTTAATTCAATTTATTCATTTTAAATATTAGAATAATAATTCATCAATAATATTCATTAATTGATTGCATTTCTTCAGATTACTGAAACGGTTGAATAATTTTCAAATTATTAAATTCACAGTAATTTATCAGTGTGATGCTAATAATTATAGCTAATAATTACAAATCTTTAAGTTAATTAAAGTATTTTAATATCTCTGCAATTTTGTCAAAATAATTTCTGACAATTGATCAATTATTAATTGATATTTGAAAAATATGTAGCAATTTGAAGTTGTTTAATGAAATTTTATGCATTAATTTCAATTATTTTCAGTGTTTAGTATTAAATTATTTTAGCTGATCACAGAATTGATTTTAATTAAATTTTCTGCTATAAAATGAGAGAATAATTAAATTATATTAATATTTAATTTCATTTTAAATTTCAAATATTCCATCCCGAAATGATGAACTATAATTTTAGTAACTTTTGCAGGAAAATAGCATATAGCGATGCAATTTCATATGTATACAATTTAACTTTTAAAAAATTTAAGTAAGCATAAGTAAATTTAGTTTACAAAATTTGAAAAGTTAAAATGCATTCTATTTTTGTATTTTATTTTTCTATTTTTTATTAAATATGAAGAATTTCAAAAAGCTACCAAAGAGATTTGCTATAAAAATTAATGGATGAAAAAGATTTCATTAAATTTTTACTTATTATTCCATCAAAATAAATTAAAAATAAAAATGAGAGTAGCAAAAAGGAAAGAAAAAGAGTAAATAAATATCTTTTTAATTATAATATTAAAATTTTTATGAAAAATCATTGATTCTTTCAACAAAACAATTACTCATCATTGAACAATTTAAACAATACATCAAAGAATGAGGTCAAAAAGAGAGAAAGAGAGAGAGAGAGAGAGAGAGAAAAAAAGAAAGAGAGAGAGGGAAAAAATTTTTTTTTATGACCAATTACACTACAAATTAATCATTAAATTGTTAAATAAAATTAATTCATCAAAAGTTGCATCTCTTCATTCTTTCATTATTGTACTACTTTTTTTTTTTAAATTTAATTTATATTGGTAAATGAAAAGAATGAAATTTTGTTGTACCAATGAAAAATTTCATTTATCATTAAGTTTTGTATAATAAATAAATTTTAAATAATTAAATTTATAGTTTATTATAATACTTAAAAAATTTCATATTGTGTCACAGCGTAGATCAAAGTAATTAATGTCAAACTTTTTTTTTTGGTTCTTTTGCTCTCATTTTGTGATGATTCATGCACACTCGCCGCAATTATTAATTTCAAATTGCAAATTAATTGAAATTATCATTTCAACAATATTATTTAAATTTTTGAAAAAATTTTTTATTATTGATAGTTGATAATATGATTATTATCATCATCCGTTCATCAACAACTAACAATGTTTTTGTCTGAAATTTTTTTAAAACTTTTTTAAAATTTTCCAGATTTTAAAAAATTATAAGAAAAGCTTAAATTTAAAAATGATAATAACTTATTATTC